GACTAAGTTTTCACATGAGCTACATATTGATCAACTTCAAACGACCATATAACATATAAAGTGTTAGGAGGACAAATTTGAATAGTTTCTAATAGGTTAAGGACATTTTTTATCCAATAGGTAGAAGGAGTGCATTATCAAACCCCAAAGGCAATTAACATTAATAGTATTCACTTGTGAAAAGAGTTTTTGGCCAAAAATATACTTCAACTATATCCCAAACTTAAACAACATTCTTAAAGTGTCAATTTTATCAGAAAACATCCTTTAACTATTTTCCAAACTTATACTACATCCTTAAAGTATCATTTTTAGCAGAAAACATCCTTAAAGTATTTGTAAGTGAACAACTTTCATCCTTTTGTTAGATATTGTTAAAAACAAAGGGATCTTATGAAAAAATGAGCCGTTAACGTGACTATCGACAAAAGTTATTATGCATAATTTCATTACTTTCTACCAGAAGTTCTTGAAAAATATAAAATATCTTAGACAGTGTTGCTTATGAAAACTAAAAATGATTGGAAGGTGTGAGCATATATGATTTGCCTTTTTCTTAACGGAAAGAAGTTGGAGATTAATTATTTTGAGTTTTTGGCCAAACTCATCCTTAAACTATATCTCAAACTCAAACTACATCCTTAAAGTATCATTCTTATCATAAAACATTCTTCAAGTATTTTAAAGTAAACAATTTTCAATCTTCTACTTGAATTTATCAGAAAACTAATTGATATATCCCACAAAAAATAAGTTGTTCCTTCCTAATTATTATTCTTAAATATGCCAATAATGTTAGTGAACTTTTTCGTAATTGAGTTAAATTTTATGCAAAATCTTTTAATTTGAGCGCTTTTCATTCATTATTTATATAATTTTAATTAAAAATATTACTACTTTAAATATGATTCTTCTCAATTGAATATGCTAGAGGCGACGATATTTGTTGGAGACTTCCCCTTCTAATAATGTAAGAATGAAACTCAAATACGAGACATAATCAATATTTTAATCACTATGATATTAGATTGACCCAAAAATCTATTAATTTAATTGGTTAAGAAAAAGATAAAAATAATTAATCTCCAACTTCTTTCCGTTACAAAAAAGTCAAATCATGTACGCCCACTCCTTCCAATCATTTTTAGCTTCCATAAGCAACAATGTCTAAGTTTTTTTTTATAATTTTCAAGAACTTCTTGTAGAAAGTAATGAAATAATGCATAATAACTTTTGTTGATAGTCACGTTAACTGCTCATGTTTTCATAAGATCCCTTAGTTTTTTAACAATATCTAACAAAAGGATGAAAGTTGTTCACTTACAAATATTTAAAGGATGTTTTCTGCTAAAACTGATACTTTAAGGATGTAGTTTAAGTTTGGAATATAGTTAAAGGATATTTTTCTGCTAAAAATGATACTTTAAGCTAGCGTTTGGCCATAGATATTCAAATATTTTTGGCAAATATTATTTGGATGAAAATTTGGGTGAAATTTTACCATGTGTTTAGCCATAGAATTTGAGAAACATATTTCATTTTTTTAAGAAATATGATTTATACCCATAAGTTTTTAAAACTATCAAACTAACCATAAATTTGTATTACATAGTACAATAGATATCTCACGTAACAAGATTTATGACTTCCGCAACAAATCAACAAGAATCATTACAGTAAATATTTGTAAGAATCATTACAGTAAAAATTCGTATAGTGAAAAGGTCTTGGTACAAATCATGATAATGAAAATACAACTAATATAAATTCGGGGAAAAAAAAGAAAGAAAACAAAAGGAAATAAATATTGCAATCACTGAAGAACCTATGTTTTCTCATCTGAAAGAGTTCAACCTATTCTTTAATATAATCTTCCCACATTTTATGAACAATCTCTTCTCGATGAGCTTGCATTTCCGAATCAGATGATCGAGAAGATGAAGCGGTGTTGTTACCCTGAGCGAATAGTTCGTCACTTTCATCAACAACCATATCATCATTTTCATATTCATTGAATATTCCATCACTACTTTGATGTTCACGTAAAAAATTATTGGTTGGTGTCAATAAATTATATTATTTTTGTAAAATAAAAAGTTAAGGGTAAAAATTGAATTTCTAAAACTTTCCAAATAATGAAATTTGGCCCAAATACTAAATTTTTTTCTAGTATTTGGGAATTTGGAAAATTTGCCAAAAAAATTTGCCAAATAATAAAAAAGTGTATGGACAAACAAAATTTGCCAAATTTTTTCCCAATTTTTACTTGCAAAATATATGGCCAAACGGGCCCTAAGGATATAGTTTAAGTTTGAGATATAGTTGAAGAATGTTTTTGGCCAAAAACTCCTTGTGAAAATATAAAATGATTAGGAATACTTGAGGAAAACTCTTGGGATGGGAGTTATGAATAACTTGCACTTAGTGAGTGTTTGATTTTAAATTTTTTAATGTTTGGTTGATTAATATGTTTGAAAAATATTTTCACTAAAAAAATTTTCTTAAAAAAATAAGAAAAATGACTTTTCTAATGAGTAATGAATTCAATTCCAGCCTTTGACCATCCCATCCTCCGCCACCTCCTAAACCCTACTTCTCATCCCATTCTGCCTCCGTAATATTTTGTTAGATGAAATAAATGTATTTTGAGATAATATTTTTTTACTTACTTACCAAACACTAAAAAATAAGTAAAAGAACACGTTATTTTAATAAAAAAATATTTTTCTAAAAAATCATGTTCCATGAAAAACATTTTCTTTGTACCAAACACAAATTTTAAATATTTCCATTTCTTTTGTCGTGTATATAAGTCCGTGTTTGACTTGTAATCACACACGTAGTCATGAATAAAAATGTGAATTATTCATTATAATTAATTGAATACATCACTAACAAACACTTTAGTATTAAAATTTATAAATATATATTATTTTTGAATATAACAAATCAAATAAATAATAAAAATAATTTCAATATAATTAATTCATCATAATTTATTTCAACATAATTTATCTCATTATAACTAATCCTAACATAACTATGGAATATATTTTAATTGTTCCTATACTAAAAGTAGAATTTTTTTACTTGTCCACATTATAAACCATAAATCAAAGACTGCTTTTTCTTATACTATCATTAGTATTAAATAACAAACATAAACTTATAGTAGTAATAGTCAAATGTGGAGTTTCAAATCATTTTTAATAAGGTTAGTTTTATAAAAATACACCTCTAGTAAAAAAAAGTTTTTTCAAAAAACTATATCAAATCAACATATTAGCCAATTAAAATAAATATTTTCTCTAATCCATAACATGTGCGTTATTAGGATATAACATATCTATAAAAAAGATATTTAAGAACATAAAATAAAGGTGCCTTTTCAAATGGTGGAACGTGATCTGTACGTATAATCGAGGGAAAAAGATTTGAAATATATTTAAATTATGAACGAAAATATTGTGTTACGGTATCAAATTTTAGAAAGGACCTTTTATTTTTTTTGTACTATTTAATGGTGCATTTTAAGGATATATATGTACACACGTAGACATCATAAATATTATATCATTAAAAAAAGTAATATATCTATGTGTACACATATATACCTTTAAAATACACTATTAAAAATATAAAAAATAAAAAATTCTGTATAAAATTTTATATTTTAACAATGTTAAAATATTTTTCAAGCTCTTTTCTCTATCATTAATTATTCCTAGGTTGTAGTGTATTTCATTGAAAATCCATTTATCATATATATATTTTACTTCTTTATTATGGGCACATATTAAATTATAAGATTAAAAATGTGAAACTTTTATGCATGAAAAGTACCTTTATGTTAAAATAAACTTACTACATCTACAAGCAAGCACGTGGCTTGCTTTTCGTCTTTTGTACGCCCATTAATTGTGGAGAAATTATTACATTTTGCCTACACAAAGTATGGCAATACTTTTTTGTTATTATTATTATATCAAAGTACAAAAAAAAAATCAAAATATTTTAAAATTTTTTTATTTTAATAAAGACGATAAGTAATTAGACGAAATAACTTAACTTGTTACATTAGTCTATAAGTTAGTTACGATTTATTAGAAATTATCAATTTATATTGCTATGAAATAGAGTTACCTACAAAATAATTACCTCTTTAACTGAATTCTTCAAAGCTAGGTAGGAGCAAGGTACGTAATGTGATATAATGATTCGATGAGATTATTTTATTTTTAATCAAGAATTTTAAAGTCAAATTCTAGATGAAAAAGATTCTACAAAGAACGTGATCAAGGGCGGATCTAGAGTCAGCAAAAATTTGTTGTATGTATAAGAGAGTTTTAAGAATTTTTATGTTTATATATTTTGAACGTCCTGAATATAAGATTAGAGATTCAAATAGTGGTTGAAGAGTTCAAATCTCAAATCTTAAGCACTATTCTTCTTTTTTCTTAAATTCTTTAACGAAAATTCTGAATCCGCCACGAAACATGACTACCGAATGAGTCTTAAATGAAAATTACTATACCGAGTAAAAAGATTTTTTTTTTGAAAAGGTACGTAGTGAACCGTCCAAAGCTTGATTAATAATGTATCCTAGTAATTTAAAAGAAAAGAAATAATTTGGAAGCTATATATATAGGGATTGTGTATTATTCAAGTAGTTTGATTAAAATTTTCCTAAGATCACCTCTTCACTCATTTCCATTAGTTTATGACTATCACATGCTATGCTACTAATTGTCATTCCCAATAAATTGTTATTTTATATTGAATAGCAATTTAATTTTAAAATATTTATTTTATTTTTAATGTAATAATTTATAATTATATAAATTTATGTTAAATTATAAGTTTGTGTCAAGTTAAATTATATCATATATTAATATCTATTATTTATTTTAAATTATAATTTCGTGTCACGTCAAATTAGGCGACGAAGTAGCTAGCAAGCTAACGCCATCTCTTTTTCCATATTCATCACTATATCAACTATGTATACTACAAAAAGCGTAGTGAAGAAAGAATGTCTACTACAAGCTTAAGTTCTCCAATATTTTTACTAATATTTTTGCTTCTTCTCTTCCTCCTCTACTTCTCCACACTAAATTATAATAATTCCATCATCACATTTTCATCTCATCCCACAAACAATCAATTACAAGCACCCTTCACTGCTGTTACTCATCATGTTAATAAGGTATGTATAGGCTTTACAGACATTTACAAAGTGTGTCAATTATTGTTAAAAGTATATATTTAGCGTTTGACACTAAAGATTATTTTTTATGTAGTCTGTATGGTTTAAGTGGCGTAGGAATTTAGAGTTTAGGAGTTCTAAATTTCCTTTAGAACCATCAATCAATTTTGTTAGGGGTTCACAAATTAATATACATATATATATATATTTAACTAAATTTCTAGTACAAATACAAGGTTTACGAAAAAGCAACTGTGTTCGATCGAATTCATGAACCCCCATCTAGCTCTGCCTCTGCCAGTCAAACACCTTTTATCGAAAAATTATACTATACTTACTATATATGTAGATAGATCAGAAAATATTTTTTTATTAGTATATATTTTATTTTGAACGTCCCGTTTAACTAAATTTCTGATTTTGTGACTGTATGGTTGACTATTTTATGATTTGCATGAAACAGAGAAAGAGTGGTGTAGAAAAAATTGAAGAAGATTTAGGAAGAGCAAGAGCAGCTATATGGAGAGCTATTCGTTCAAGAAACTATACTTCTTATAAAGAAGATCAAAATTTTATTCCAAGTGGATCTATATATAGAAATTCATTTGCCTTTCACCAGTTAAGTTTTATACAATTATGTATCGTTAATTTCTTTTATTTAATTTTTCCCTCTCTATGTTTGGTAAGACACATCTTGATTAAAAGTAGCGTAATACAAGAATTTAATTACGGAGGGATATGATAGGATTAAACCCCTTTATTTATGTTATATAAAAAATCAATATATTAAGGTTCCTCTCTTAAATTTCGCTTTAAACCGCCAATATTGTTGAGTCAGTCCTAAATATGGATAGTGTTTTGATGAAAATTTTGAGTAGTAATTAATATTGATAACAATTATGCAATATATATGAAGTTTATGTTGGTATATTTAAATCTTTAAAATACACTATTAAATAGTGTAGATAGATAAAAGATCTTTTTTTAAGTTTGTTATCAAAATAACAATTTCGGACAAAGTTTAAATATATTTGAGACTTTTTTCTCATGCGTAAATGTTGGTTAACATAATGATATCATGAAGTTATTTAGAGTGGAGATAGTTATAAAAGAATATTGATGACTCTCATCCAAGAGTAATGGAATATTTGGGGAAATATTTTCAGATAATCAAACACTAGAAGATGATTTGTTTTCTTAAGAAAATTGCCAAAGCAATATTAAATATTAATTTTTGGTTATCGGATTTAGAATTTTAAGTTTGTACATGAGTTGATACATGATCTCAAGTTAATATACAAAATAATTGTTTTCACATTTAATGAATTTCTTACTCTATATACAAGGTTCATGTACTTTTTACACTATACTAAAAATGATCTTTAGCAACAGTCAATTAATAAGAATAGCCGTTAAATATATTTTTAAAGGCAATTACTAATGATAATTACATTTTAGGTTTTTTTGTAAAGGTCACTTAAGTCAAAAACAACATCGAAGCTAATTAATGGCTCTTGGGTACGGAGTAACTTTGTTAGGGAGGGGTTTACCTCCAATGTATGACATTCCAGCGCGAATTCGGATTTAGTCGGGCTCTAATGTGGATATCGAACACCGGATGAGAAACCAAAATAAAACATCAAAGCTAATGATAATTAATTAGACTAATAGGAGTAAAGACTTCAACAGTACTCTTTGATGATGTTCGTTGCTGCTAAAAACTGTTTTTGTTGTAGTAACTCTGCGTCTACTACCATCCCTTTTGTTTATAATATTTAAGCTTAGATGTTAAAATGCAGGAGTTATATAGAGATGATGAAGAGATTTAAGGTTTGGACATACAAAGAAGGGGATTTGCCTATGGTACATAATGGACCAATGAAAGAGGTATATGCAATAGAAGGTCACTTTATTAGTGAAATGGAGAGTCATAATAAAGGGGAAAAAAAACTACCTTTTTTGGCTTCCAATCCTGATGAAGCTCATGCATTTTTTTTACCAATAAGTGTAGCATATATTGTTCGATATCTTTTTGTTCAAGGCACAAATCATATTTTCAGAGGAAAATTACAAAGGGTTGTTGAGGATTACATTCATATAATCTCTAACAAGTATCCTTATTGGAATAGAAGCAATGGTGCTGATCATTTCCTTGTTTCTTGCCATGACTGGGTAAGTACGCGCTCACTCGCTCTAACAAAAATGACACATAATTTTTTTAAAATTTGAAATTAATATGTGCATCATTTTTTAAACGATATATCATTGTGAATCGTAAAGATGAGGAGTATGTACGTAGGGAATATGCTCAAATATGTCATTGAACTTTGAGAAAAGGCTCATCAATATTGTCTACATCATTTCTATTTGAGAAAAAATTCATTCTTGTCATTATTTGTTGATGGAAAACATTTATAATTTTGCAAAACCATTTTTTACACGTGGTCAATTATGATTCGACCACATCATTAATAAAATTTATCTTTTGAAAGAAAAAAGCTCAAATATGTCATCATACTTTGAGAAAAGACTTACACTATTTCAGGTAACAAATAATAGCATGGAGGAGACTTTTCTCAAATAGAAATGACATAAATGAGTCGAAGTTTTAACTGAATAAATGATTCTTCTCAAAAAGTTTGATGACATATTTGAGTCTTTCCCAAGAATATGTATTCCCCCTTTTCGCTTTAAGATATATACATTTTTTAGGCACCATAAATGATATATCTGCTCTAATTCGTAAAGTTGAGATGTATAACTATTTGGAAACTCAATTCAGGCACCAGAAATCTCTGATGGAAATCCAGAACTCTTCAAAAACTTCATCAGAGTGTTATGCAATGCCAATACCTCAGAAGGATTTGAACCAAAAAGAGACATTTCATTGCCTGAGGTCTATGGATTAGCCAACACTCTTAGTCTTGCACCACCAGACCTAGGATTACACCCGAAAAATCGCCCTATTCTCGCCTTCTTTGCTGGTGGATCACATGGATACATTAGACAAAGGTTACTTCAACATTGGAAAGGTATAGATGACGATATTCGAGTATACGAGTACCTTCCGAAGGGTGAAAACTACACATATTTAATGGGACAGAGCAAGTTCTGTTTAGCTCCTAGTGGATATGAAGTTGCAAGTCCAAGAATTACTGAAGCAATCTATGCAGGATGTGTTCCTGTTATAATTTCGGACAATTATTCGTTGCCATTTAGTGATGTTCTTGATTGGAGTCAATTTTCGTTGAGTGTTCAAGTTAACAAAATCGAAGAATTGAAGACAATCTTACAAGGAGTTTCTCGAGGTAAGTACTTGAAAATGCAGAAAAGAGTAAGGAGATTGCAAAGGCATTTTAAGTTGCATAGGCCTTCTCAGCCCTTTGATGTAATCTATACACTACTTCACTCTGTGTGGTTAAGGAGACTTAATCTTAGATTGACTACTAATTGAACAAAAATTTGAGCTGAAAGTATCTCATCACGTGTTTAAATGCTCAATTAGAATTTGTCATAATTTGAGTGTCTGAATGAAATTTCATGACACTTTAAGCGGCTATGTATGCATGTATCATGACAAAATTTTATTGTAGTCTTTAGACATATGTAACTTGTATCTTATGAAATGTATGGACATAGAAAATTGATCATGTCATTCAATTGAATTGATTTGAGATTGAAGTTTAGTTATTAAGCTTTTGAGCTAAGATTTCTATTATCTATGGAGAATTTTTAATCTAATGTTTTGTTTTATAGTCTTTGGGACAAAGTATAAAAGTGGAGGAGGTCAACTATCTAAACATACCTCTAATACTAACGAGTCCTAACTCAATTTTCCTCCTTGCGCAGTCTCGCAAAAATATGAATATTTTTCCATTCTGATGTTATATAGACAATCAACTTAGTAGGCGTTTGATCATGCGATATTATATCACGATATGGTATCGTGAGATGGAATCAGCGTTTAGACATGTGATTTCACGCTAATTTCATCTCATGATATGGAATCATGAGATGTGATTTAATACGAAAATTGATCCACGAGTTTATATTTTTTGTTAAAATAATCCCACATTTATATCTACTAACCATTAATCATATGTAAATAAAATTAATAATCACATCATTACTTTTTAAAATTTTATTATTCTCACAAACATATAATCACTTTAACTCACACCAACCGATTGTTAAAGTGATGAAATATTTATGGTCTATCAACATGAAAATATAGTTACGGATGATATTGACCAACAAATGACTCAAAGTAACAATGTTGGTTCGTCTTCTCAGTCAAATAATCGAGAAATGCAAGTTCAACTTGAGGAAATCGTTCGTATTATGTGGGAGAATTATATTAAAAACTAATACACTAAAATTTATGTTCATTTTTTTATTAAATTAAAGCTAGATGAAACAATTACTTAAGTGGAGAACAAATACCTTTGTAATAATTTATCATGCGATTTTATAATTTTTTTTATTTGATAAGATTGTATAAACAATTGATGCTATTTTAATAATTTTACAACTTATGAGATTTTTATATTTATAAGAAAATATACAACACATGTTGACACCCAATTTTGACCCACGTCGGTATAAATTAATTATCGAGCTTCCTAAATTTTCCAAATAATTTAAATTAATTAGTTTTATAATTTTGCAAAAAATATAACGATTTAACGTTTACATAGTGGTGTATATAGCCGGTATATCTTGTGTATATTCTAAACGAACCCAACTTCCCCCATCAGCCCACACCCCTCCTCTTCCAAGTCAGGCCCAAGTTCCCTTCAGGCCCAAACGTCCCCAATTCTCCCATTTCTCTTCCTAAAA